AATAAGTAAGGATGGAAGTTATCAGTAGTCTCACGTGGGACCAACTTAGGAGTGATTCGAATCTTTGATAAATATGGGAAGTTTATATTGTCGAACATCAGTATTTTGATGAGTAGTGGGAAGGACTTTGTCATACTGAAAGCTAGTCTTGTGTGATTAGGCAAAGAAAGAAAGCAGTTGGCGCAATACACTCATTTACAAACAAATCTGGTTTTGGAAGAGACTCACCTGGAACCCAGCTGAATCCCTCGTTCATGATGTTTCCAAGCGGCTGCATGTGCTGCATCAGACCACCTTATGCTTCAGCTGGCACAATAATCGAGATATCACGACGCATGTATAGGCCTAATACACTGCTCATAGGGTTGCTGAAAACTCTTCGACAGCCCACGACCGGTTTTGCCCTTCTTGGGGCTCATCAAGTAGGCACAGTCCTCGAGTTTCCGTCAACTTTATGTTCTACTTGGACCCAAACTGCGTAAAATTAGCGAAATACACTCGGGAGTATCAAATTCTGCAGCCTTCTGAAAAGTTGTTAGCAGGTTAGAGTTCACACGGTATGAGTTTCTTCTGCGTTTTTTGCCATAACATAAGACACGGCAATACATATGAGTGACTCAACGACAAATTCAAATTTCCAATGAGCCTTTCATCATTTCTGTGAGTGGTGTTAGATTAATGTCTGGCCACCTCTCTACAACAGAGCTGTTTTCAGTAAAACCGAACTAAGTTTTCTAGAATGTGGATAGTCGCACGACCCGTGAAATTCGCATCCATGCTAATCTTTGTCAAATAGCTCACGAGTAGTCAAACAGATGTGTCCAGCAGATTTCAAGCGTTCGTGTTGTCACCTGACTAGGAAATCCTGGTGAGTCAGCTGATCGGTAGAACTAGGGAAGATACTGGGTCACCGTTCGACTTGTTGGGCAAATCAGTCACCTCGTCTAACGAACAACCACATCTGCTTCCTCAGACGTGATAATCAAAAGGCATCTCCAACATGCGCTGGTGTGTCTGAACTAGGTGTTGCGCGACTCGTGTTATGCGAGTGTTAGCGGTTCGTATCAGATGGTCCGAATTCCGTTCGCACTGGAACACACAGAAAACACGGAACGACAGAGCTGGGATGGATAGGGATAAAAGAAATGGAAGAAACTGCCGTGCTCTGTGATGCTGTGTTCACTGAACATCCAGGAGTCCGAAGCAGTTAACAGGCTTCGATAGATGAGTGAACGAAACACACATAGATATCAGGTGGAAGGAACATAGTCCAAGGTTATTAGCAATGTTGTGGAATGTAGGTAGCTCGGGTGCGCTGTTTGGTTGTTGGTCTGTTCACCGAGCTTGGCAGTTGGGTTGCAAACGTTTCATCACCAATCGAGGTGACACCGTCAGTGCAGGGTTGAGTGGGTCACCCACACCCAACAACCAAACAGTCCAAGGTTGTTGTCTAGATGAAACATGCTACTCATAGGGTTCTGAAAGGTCTTCTACGGCCTACGACCAGTTTCACCCTTTTTGAGGATCATCAGGTAAGCACAAACCCCGAGTTTCCATCAACTTCACGTTTTACTTGGACGAAAATTGGACACATTTCGACAAATACACTTATTTGCATACTGTTCTGGTTTTCAAGGGGAGACTCAACTGAATCTCTCGCTTGTGATATTCTACAAGTGAATGTGCGGCACAAATGCTACCCCATGTTTCAGTTGGTACAATATTCGGACCATCATAAACGAGATTCAGTTGGATTCAGTTGAGTCTCCCAATTCGTCTGTAAATGAGAGAACTTGTCAAAACCCGACCTAGGAGTATTAACTTGGATCACTTGTTCATCTACAGATTGGCGGTTGGTGAAACTGGTTCGGTGTGTGCCCATCAGGTTCGGTCACATGCTCAAATTAGCCGTATAACCTGCAAAACGTAATAAAAAATGACAAAATTCACTTCGAGAATATCGTGATTTAGCAAACATCAGAATAGTTTTGAAAAACTGCAAATCATAAGTGCGCTGTCTGAACATCGCTCAGAGTTATTCAAATAGTGTTTGCTGTTTAGCATAGTTGTTTAATCTTTAACAAAATATAAATGGCCAATAAAGGACGTATGACTCACATCCAGTGTATCGCTCACAATCGTCAAGTCCCGTTCCCATTGTCTCACGATGGCCAAAAATGGTGTGGCATGACGACTGGCCCCGATGGACTGTAAACTCATCATGTGATCCTCCATAATTTGTGAGGGTTCTTCGACAGAGGCCAGGATGAAGCAGGGTTCTTTGTTGCATTTCGTATACGGTGATATGGAAAAACGCATTTCTAGCCATATATTCTTGATGTCCTCCAAGTTCTGTTGAAAAGAATTAAATTGCTTCTCAAAATACTTGAGGATTCTACGGTGATAGCAAACGTGACAGATAGCGACCAAGGACGGTGAGCGCTATTAGAAGGTGGCGTAAACCAATGCCTGTCTCGTGTGCTACTGGGGTCTTTCCTTGTAGTATTGAAGGATAAACAGGGAACCCTGCCGTCACTATAAAAACGGGCACTCATCCCCTAATGGTCGCAGCAAAGATTTCCTGGGACCAAACATCACACTGGAACCTTGTCCAGACATTTATCACCATCCGTTTTCTCTTTGCCCCATGGTGATAGAGTGAACGGTTTGCATGGTATTTATAAACCAACTCTCGTGAAGAGTATATTCACTCATGAGCCGGTTGGGTAAGACCAACATAACCGTTGGTCAAGTGCGTATTATCAGGAAGGTCACATTCCTGAAACTAACCTCAGAATGCCCGGAACCTACTGCTCCACCAGAAACTCAATAGGAAAGCCGGCAAGCATCCAGGCCAGTCAATCATTCAGTCAATTCAGCAAAACCTGATGAGTGTTCTTGCACGCCACAGGAGCACGGCCGAATGTGATCAGTGTTCAGGCTTTTCATAGAGGCACGATCAATGTTGATGGGTGTTCATTAACGCCTATCAAACAGCCTGGATCAATGTCAGAAAGTCCCCTTTTACTAGCGTGGGGGCATTGTGACTTTTGCTCTCGCACTTGTTTGTTCGGAACATAGCGGTTGTGTTCCCTTCTGTGCGTCTTTCCTCTCCGGCATTAGGCACTGGAGCAGGTCAGCAGCAGACACCACAGATTGACGAATCAGCAGATATAACACGTATAAACCACACTGTTTACTTAGTACTGGTTAAGAATAACTGAAATGAATCATAGAGACAATATCACAAAGGCCAAGGCAAGTCAAATTCACAGCTCGTAAATAAATATGTTCCTCCACACAAAGGTTAACCCCCATACAAAGACCACTTCCCTAGGATTGGCGTTCACAAGCAAGACACAGAGAAGTGCCGAATGACGGGTTATTGCGCGATGCCACGTCACATGCCATTCCAAAAAACCCAGAAGACTATGAGAGTGACATTTCTTCAGTGTGACAGTGCGTTTTACACGTACTCTATCATATAAAAAGAAGCTGTTCAGGGGATTACATCTACTGTTCACAAAATCAGGTCACAGAAATTTCCATCCACTACCTCGGTTAATCATCATCAGGTGAGAATTGCGTAACCTCGGCGCCATACAGGCTTTCTACCGTCTGACACAACCGAAACGAAGGACTGGATCTAACGTAGAACCATGTGACCAGCAGCCTAGAACTGGAAGCAACTACTGTTTACCAAACTACTCGCAAGTGGAAGTGTTTCAACTGGAGACGCTCTGACGTTCGAAGAACAGCTTCTGATGAGCACACCTACCTACCATTTGTCTATTTATTCAGTTATGGAGTTTCAAAAACAACCAATCTTATTTCTCTACATATATTGGCACCCAATTTGACCTTTTTAACAAAGGCCCACTATTTCGTAGTTACCCTCGGTCAACGCTATGAACTTTGTTGAACGATGTGTTTATTTTCCCATGGTTCCTGAATTCCGCTCGATTTCACTCTTCATCGTTGGCCTTCGTAATCTATTAACCAGTTCTACTTCTGTCATCATTTGTGATATGTCCATAAAAAAGTAATAGAGGTTGTCCAAGTGGGTACTACAGCTTCACCGCATTCGGACTCACGAAAATAAAACGAGTACAAGCAACTTTCCTTCGCGAGGGCTATCTCTTATCCAAATTAGTTACGTCTGTCTCGATCGGCTGTAAACTAAGTTTGTTCGTGAGATGAATCGTGTGTTAAAGGCTATTCTACTGTCAAGGAACAAGGTCTCTGAACTCTGTTCACATTCTATTGCTTTGCAGGACAAAGCATGTGTTAGTTAAACATCCAGTCCGATGCGAACAATGGAAAGACGTTCGGCTGACCTTCATGCATAAGTCACGTTACCTTTTCAATGACCACCTCGCGCTGAGCATTGCTCACAACCATTGAAATCACATCAGCGAATTGGTGAAGTTGCATTGCAAATACCCCCTCGAGAGTGAACGTTTGAGGATCCATATCAAAACTGATACCGGTCTTCTCCATCAATTGTTTCCAGTGTCTGCAGATTTGAGGACATAATTTTAGCGTCATGTATAATGGTGTGTGATTATATTTTATCCTATCATCAAGATCGAAATATACTTATAAACATAGCTCAATCCTTCTCCATTTTAAACCCCCCAAAAAAACTGTAAGGCTCAAAATGAAATAAACGACTACAAATTCATACATTATGATGCAATACTCCTCCACAAACGCAGTCTTGTCAGTACTGAACATCCCTTGATTTCTGTCGTGGTTCCGTGAGATGTGGCCTCTTGATGACTTGACTCCGAGCCACAAGTTAACCAGTGTGATTTCCTCATGTAAGTGGGCTTCGAACACGTAAGAACGTGGAGCATTCGCCGGTCCTCAAATGCAGATTTGAGGATTTAATTTCCATTCGACGTAATCATCATCTGACTGCTCATATTAGTCAGCAGCTTCCGCTTCGGGTTATCTAACCGAGTTCTCTGTAACCCCCGGGTTTCTGCAGGCCAAACCCGAAGGACTGTGGAAATCCCTCCTTATCAAGCTAATTTCGTTCCGATTCACTCATAGCCTGTGACCATCATCTGTGCATGTACGAAAAATTTCGTTATCCAAAAGCAATAACGAGAATTCGCACGCAAACCTCTCTTCCAAACTACAGAGACCAGCTCCACCCCAGAAAATAGGAAAGTTCACAGAACGTATTCCCCGCATGTTCCATTCCTAGAAAGGTCATCTCCCTGAAGCATCCGCGATGCTGTTCCCCCCCCCCCACAATCTTTAGAGAATAGCCGGACAGTAGTTTCGAAGGGCGTAATTTTGGAGGACAATTCCAAACCCGGAATCTTGCTGTTACTACTTGATGAGTATGATATTACCTCTGCCGGAGTATCTCCTTCATGATGTTACTATCCAGGTTACTAGATTCGAACCCTACTTTATGGTCACGGTAGAATAATGATCAGCCACTTGCTTGTCTTAGTGAACGATGTCTTTTATGCTAACAGACGTCGGGGTCGTCACTGACGGTCGTACAGCAGTCCTAAAGACTATATGATAACTACCATACACCAATGAGGAGATAAGACCTGCGTAATGTAGAAAGAAAGAAAGGGGAGGTTGAAGACTCATTACAGAAAGATCTTAAGTCTATGGGAAAAAATAACAGTAATTGCACGTTCGAACAGCAATGAGTGCCCCGTCAGCACAACAAGAGATATGCCTCAACCTGGTTATGGCGACTTGAAGTGACGGCATTCTCGCCAGGAGTCCTAGTCGGAAGGGCAAACCCCACAACACACAACTGGACTCAGGTCTCCTTCATTTCGCCCATATCAAAACTCGTCGCTCGAGAAAGACACTCACTGGACATCCCAGACAATCACCTCAATCTGATGGGTTTAACTTCCCGTGCTCTGGTGCTAAATCCTCTGCATTTCTCCACCCTCCCCCCCCGAGAAGAATCCCACGAGAAAGTATAATGACCCTCTTTTCCCGTAGAGGCTCTTCTTAGGGGAATTACGGTGTTATGTTGCCCATCGATCGGTGCAAATCACGATTGAAGACTACTCAAATATAGTCTTAAGGCATGACTGGCTGATTTCATCTCGGGATCACTTGTCGATTAAATTCATGAGATGCGCCCAATGATATTTCATGCTTTTGTGATGCAAAAAATAATGTTGTGGGAGTCCTCTGCCTACGCAGCTAAAGTTGGTAAAAATGCGGCAAGTGTTGGAAGTTAATAGGCTGAAGAGAATTGACGAAAATCGATGACGCTGATGACATTTCGAACGCCAGGTTCGAAGCGCTGGGCACAAGTCACATCGTTCATTCATTAACTCGTTTGGCTGTTCAGAGAGAAGAAGTCAGGTGGATCAGTGGTAACACACTCGCCCTGCAGGAGGATGACTGTGGCATGCGGCGGGACCATCTACGCTACTCTATTTGTTCTAGGAGACATTTCTGTTCCAAACGGCTGAGGGTATGTGTTTGAGGGCACTCACACGTGGAACTCAGCTACTTCACTAACCTGTCTCGCATCGCATCATCCTTCAGGTTTTGTATTAGCAGCAGCGACTCCAAGAAGTTTTTCAAAATAGTATTGAGCATTCTGGCGGCGGGAAGCGCACGCATTCGTCTTGGACGTTGACGGAAGCGGTTGATAAATTCACGAGTGCTTGACACAAGGTCTCCGAGTTTCGCATCCTTCCACAGTATACAAGCCCAGTCTTGCCGGGCACTCTGAAAGAACGTAGAGAACGAGGGATTACCTTTAGGGGAACGTTTGCGACACAGGAACTCATTTTCCATCAACGGTCTACGCTCGCTAGGTACGGAACTTACCACAGTATTGATCGTTGTTGGTAATCAATGTATTGAGCTATGGCCGAACAGAACGAATAACCTATCACTTTATATCTTTGTAATGTACAACTCATAAGTTTGCTGAAAATCCGTCAACAGCAACCTTATGAGTAGTACATTACAAAGGTGTACATGTATCGCGATATCTCGAATATCTTAGTGACTGAAACATTAGGCGGCCTGGTGCAGCACATTCAGTTGCCTGAGAACATCACAAACGAGAGATTCAGCTGGGTTTCAGGTGAGTCTCTCGAAAGAAAAACAAATTAGTTTGCNTTGAAAACTAATTTGGTTTTTTCGAGAGAATCACATGGAACCCAGCTGAATCTCTCGTTTTTGATGTTCTCAGGCAAGTGAGTGTGCTGCACCAGGCCGCCTCATGTTTCAGTCGCTACGATATTCGAGATATCGCAATACATGTATATCTTTCTAATGTACATTCAGTTGCCTGAGAACATCACAAACGAGAGATTCAGCCGGGTTCCAGGTGAGTCTCTCGAAAAACCAAATTAGTTTGCAAATTAGTGTATATTCGCTAACCTATCATTTTGTTTCTCTGTATGGAGTTTAAATATAGTAAACCAGGATGAGGTTCGGTCTGAAAGCACAATCAACCGCGTCTGTCACTCTGAGTGGGGTACATCAAGCTAATGCGGTGGAATCGATCACACGACCTTCTGAGTGACAGATTCTGCTGTTAACAGCACACTGTGCAGCCACCGAAGTAGTAGGCTTGCGTTCGAAGATCTCATAATAGAACAGTACGATATAGCGAGTGTGATGGCATTGAGCATTCCGTCATGACTGGACTAGCAGGATCGTTCAACTATTGAGTTGGTTGCTCTCCTTGTCCATGATTGTATCGTTAAGTTCGAACTAAACACTCAGAAGATTCTCTGTGGAGAATCACAAAAAATTCGAAGTAACGCGACGCCCAAATTGCAGTTAAATGAGTCAAATGACCATGTTTCACGTCTGTTTTCAAATACAGTGCCAGGGAAGAAAACTAACGGTGAAAATTTCGACCACAGCAAATACGCTTTCACTGACAAGGCGTTTATCCACCTCACTACTGTTTGCTGACTTCACGAGACGATTCAGACGTGTACGGTGGCGCAGCAGCTGGAACAAAGACCTATGACCAGAAAAGAAAGCAGCGGCAGCGAAAACATGAATGCTAGTGGTGTTAACATTGCGACAGTTGAGAGGAGAAGGCCGAAGTTTTCAAGTCCAGTACAGGCTTGTTACCTATCCGCATCTGGGATAATGCAGTGGGCGAGCTGGGGCAGATGAACCGAAAATCAATAGCGAGGATGTCAGTGTAGTAAGGCGGAATGCTGACTGGACAGGCACCGACATAAATAGTGTAGGAATACGTGGGCAAAGGAACACGCTCCTGGCCGAAGGGTCGCGGCCGGATGTGCATCAAGGTTCGATGACAGAGAGGACCTGTGAAGGCGGTGGTCATCCGTGCTTGATTTATGAATATGGTAGAAAAGTACACTGTTCCAGCAGATCAAAGCATACGCAGGCAAAAGTTGGAACAAGTGGAAGGGGATGAGTCTAGACAGATCGGTGTTCATAGGTTAGGTGATGTAGGCTAAAACCTATGTGACACGACGCTGTTATGAGATCTGATCAAGTGACAGATTGTTGGTAGGCCTAATGTAGAGTTCCATCGATACGCGTCAGAAGAATGAATGAGAATTTATGCTGACTTCTTGAAATTCCCTGTAAACGGAATGCTAAAGAGCTATAAACACGTTGTGGAAACTGCTCATGCCATAGCATATACAACGTATTATGATAATAGCACA